AACTGAACATGCTAAATATTTGGAGTTCTTTGTATATCAATTATGCCTCAATAAAGCTGGTTTTAAAAAGAGAATAATAGGAAGAAAACCATGTTTGAAAAAAATTTTAGAAATTAGATATTAACGAGGGTAAAACTGTGAAAAGAAATATTCAATTACTTTACTCAAGACTGCTATTTTATAAGATGAGGTAGTTTAAGTGTCAACATTCACTAAAATGATGAGAGTCTGAAAAGAATTTCTCTAAGGAGCAATAGTTCTATGCTAATGTAATTTGCATCAAACAAACAATTGACTTGCCTGTTAAACTACGGAGTAATCTGAAAAATCAGGCAATTCTAATATATTCCTTTCTGGTATACTAATTCCAGTTAAGAAAAAATAAAAGGATCATAAAACCAGTCTATTGTTGTACCTGCTGATATTTACTTTTACCTTTTTAGTAGGAACAAGAAATGAATAGATTTTTTTTGTGTGTGTGTGTTAAATATGACCTCTAAAAGCACTGGGATACCTACACTGAATATCCTCATTTTGCAGAAAAGGAAATCAATAAGTTTTTGTGAGTTAATTACTGTTATAGAACTAATTATATGTTAAAGGCGTTTAATGCACTAAAATACATCATAGGCCAAATGTTTTAAAATATATTACAAAACCATTAGAGCATTTTAGTAATATTTTCTTAATTTTAGGATTTAGCCTTTAAAAAAATTTAGTAGACAATGTTTTTTTTCTGATTTTACTATAGTAAATAAAAATCATCTGCTATTTTTTAGATATCTAGGTCAACTATATTCCTGTTTTTCATTTCTCTTAGAAAAAAATAGCAGACTAAATTTTACTGAGAAATCAGATTTGCATTACCTAGTGTTGATTTACGAAAGGCTTTTAGAGAAAGAAACATAGACAAACATTTTCTCTGAGTTACAATATTCTTAGATTTTTTTTATTACATTTTATCAAAGAGATGGTGCTTCATAGGACATGAAATGACAACCATACAAAGAAATGGAGAGCAGGATATGAATCATAACCTCTATAAAACATTTGTGTACTTACATTTAATTTCTTTGGGCCTCAATTAATTTATTTTAGCCAGAAGTCTGCTATAATAAAGAAAGGTAAAGACTAAACTTGTTCCAGTAACAAACAAAAATAACCATTACTTTTCCTTGAGTACTTTTTAAATTTTTCTTTTCCTCTTATTTTTACAGAATTATTTAAAAACAGATAAAATGGTATACACTTTAATCTCTTTGTTGGAAAAAAGTTTAGCAAGTTTAAAACACAAAAGTAATCTTAAACTTTAATTGTAATTTTATTTCTTTTCCTCATAATTTTGAGTTAGAGTTCTTTTTCATATATATGTATATATTATATATGTATAAATATATAAAATATGTAACAGACACATATATATCTGTAACACATACACATATATAAAACAGAATATATCTTAAAAATCTATGTGATCTAATACAGCTCTACTTTCCTCTTTTTCTTGTCTTGAAATTGCAAATTTTACTTGTATTTAGCATGGTAAAATGAATGACAAATGCTTTGTACATTTTTGTATAATCTGCATTGCACAACTACTATCACAAACTACTTTAAAAATGAATTGCCTTCAAACTATTTTTTCGCTGTTAGTATGAATGCTACAAATTTATTAAAAGAAAATAGTTGCATTAAATGCAAAGATGGATTGTAATGTAAGGCCTTAATGGAAGAGACCTGTGATGCACAGAGTTACTTTTTCTGCCTCAGAAAATTAATATTCATCCTAATAACACTTTGTATTTATTTGTTAGCCTTCTTTGAGAACCTGGGTACATTTCTGTGATCAGTGTTAGGGAATTGCAGCTGCCTCTTATTGAGACAAATTCAATTACAGAAGTTTACTGTATAGCATATGATTTAGAATAGAAACATAATGTGTTGCCTTTAAATATTTTATTGTTAGGATGACGTGAAAAGGCTTCACAAAGGAACACAGATACCAGGAAATTTATTATTTGGATCTTGTCTTGGGAATAAAGAGCTCTACATTGATCAAAATTTCAAATAAAAAAAAACAGTCAGTTGGAAGAAGTAGGTTTTGTCAAATCCTTATGGGAAAACATGCTATTAGCCTTTAAGAGAAAGTAGTTTGGAGAAACTGGTGATTTGGGTTTTTCCTATTATCTTGCCAAAAACACACTTAGTAATGCATTCTTTATTAAATAGTGGTTCAATCCCTCATTCTACCTTGCATCATTTTCTGATGGACTCTCCACCTCCACTCCATCAAAGAGCTTGGAGGGAAAGCATATGTTCTTTAGTAAAGCTTTTCAGAAAGAGGACAAAAATAGATTATATTCCTGTTAAGATCTGTGCTCACTGTTTCCTACACTGTTGTCTTCTTTTTATTCATAAAGGGAAAAAAAGGTTTTGACCTCACTATTGCTTAATATACAGAGTGATGACATTTGCTTTCAGGCTCCTATGAAGTTTTATTTAATAAGAAATCTGGACTGGAAATATTGCTCAATGGTAGAGCACTTGCCTAACATGTGACAGGCCCTGGGTTTAACTTCCAATATAAGTAAATAAATAAAAAAGAAAGAAAAGAAATCTGCTCAGCACAAAGTTTTATAGGTTATAAGATTGAGAGTATAGTTGAGTTTTTATTACATACATATATTTTTTAATTGTCGATAGACCTTTATTTTATTTATATGTGGTACTGAGAAGCAAACTCAGTGAGTGTCTCACACATGCCAGGAAAGTGTGCTACCTCTGAGCCACAGCCCCAGGCCTGTGTAGTTGAATTTTAAAAGCACCATGAATAACTATATTAATCATCAATAGTTTTTTTTAATAAATAAACCAATAGTTCATTAATTCATCTTGAAATAATGGCTAGAAAGAACTATTTAGAAACCTTTAATACAAAGCCCCAATCTGAAGTCAGCATCTAGATCAGGCGGTGACTTTGTCAAAGCCTCTTTCTGAGCACAGCTCTTTGCCAGCAGTTCACAGCTTTTCCTGGGCCCACATTTATAGACTGATCCCTGAATGTCCAGAACCTTCCACGTGGTATCACCCTCATTCTTGTTCTCTGTGGCATAGTGTCCTGACCCCACTTTTCCAGACTTTATCATATCACATCAAAGGTTATTAGATCTATCTTTCTATTAAGATCTTTCTTTTCACAAGGAAATACCTAGCTATCCCAGGAGACTCACATAAACATCTGTAAAAGGTGACAATGTCACTATGTAATGTAGTGAGTAGATAATGTATTTGTATTTTTAAGGGTATCATAAAAGACATGATGGCTAACAGCACTGGTTTTAATATATTTATTTTTAAAACATTATTATTAAATAATAAAGTTCCATTTTCAAGTAAGATTTTGTATAAAATACAAAAAATGCTCTGACTGGAGTTGGGGACATGAACAGTAGCATTCCCCTCTCTCTGTCTAGCACTCTAAGTGGCTCTAGTACATTCCTGAGAAATTTCTGCAGTTCCCCATACACAGTCTACACACCAGCTGATGAGTGCAGTGGAGAAACAAAGGGTGTGCCCATTAAACTAGTACCACATGCTACATACAACTAGTGGCTCACAACAGAGGTTAATTTTGCTTCCCACCCCGCAAATGTGGGCATTTGGCCATGTCTGAAGACATTGTGGGTTGTCATAACTTGGGAATACTGAAGGGTATGCTACTGTGGCATCTTGTGGGGAGAGGCCAGGGATGCTGGTTAACATCATACAAAGTCCAGATCCGGGCACAGAGAATTTTCAGCCTAAAATGGCATGGTGTGGAGAAAGCTGGCTTTAAGGAGTGTGGCTGGAGCACCAGGAACTACTGGAGGAAGCTGGGTAGGGAAAACTCCAAGCCCTGGAGCCAGAATTAGAGAGCCAACAAGATCTGCCCCAGGGCTGGGAGAACAGAGAAAGCTCAAGCTTTGCAAGATTGTGGGATTAGGAATTTTGTTACATATGAATGTTCACTTGCGTTGAGATTCCCCCTGGTCTCAGGGAGCAGAGATGAGACCAGCGTTTATCAGGGCTTCCTCCTGGCCAACCTCCTGTCACTGCCTCCCCACTGTTATCTGATCCTTCTGCTTATCAGCACATAGGTTCACAGCAAGGTTATCTTGGAGGAAAACCCCATTCTCCCTTAAGCATTCAGTGGAGAAAGTAAATTCATCCCCAGGTGCCACATTTTCACATGAAAAAAAAAAAAAAAACACTCTCTAACACTCTCTAATCTAAACGCCCCCTGCTGTGGCCCATTCTAACATCAGACCTTGTCACTAGCTGCTTATTACGGAAAACGAAGTCATTTTTGAAATTTTAAAAAGTAAAGAAAATATTTAATTTCAGTTATTAACTCGTTAAGCACTTAATTTCCGTTTCCCAGTCAGGCTTCATTTAAAAGCCCGAGCGACATCAAGTGACACTGCTAACCAGGTCATCAATTCGAAAGCTCTGGAGATTCTAAGAGAAAACATACAATAACCCCCCCCCACCCCCACGGTCATTCTATAGAAAAGAGAGAGACATGCCCCTGCCCCCGCGGGCCCCTT